GGTTCAGTAGTGGTCCCCGGCATAGGCGCCGTTACGATCCAGCTGATTTCACTGCAAAAAAGAAGGGCCACCGGCATTTTTCAGAAAGTGAAACAACTTCAACATTCCACCGGCACCACACTAATCCACCGGCGTTCTACCGGGCGACCGTCATCATTCAGAGAATGAAACAACTCCAATATTCCATCTACGAACAGACGATTTCACCGGCATTAGAACGGGCAACCGGCATTGTTCAGAGTATGTAACAGCTTGAATACTTCACCTGTGCCAGACTTATTTCACCGTCAATATATCGGGCAACCGGCGTTATTCAGAGTATGAACAACTTGCACATTCCACCGCTACCATACTATTTCACCAGCAAATCTGCCGGGCTACCAGCATTGTACCGGGACCACAACTGCCTTTCAGTGCTGGCAAGTGCGGGATGTACTCACGTAACCGCATACCGTAGTCGGTGCACGACCTTAGACCTCGCACCCATACAACCACGCTGGGGTGACGGGAGTGAAATGTCGGTTTTTCGTAGATCGGGCTGGGAACGACATGAAGGGTGCTAAGAAACACAAGCGAACACGCCGTTCAAGTGCGGGATGTAGTGCGCATTGTGCTCGGGTACACGCATGCCGCAGTCGGCGGAAGGCGTTCCACACAGTCGAGGCCGAGGGATGCAAGGGGCGGTTACAACGAAGAGCTTGACGACTACACGCGCAAAAAAAAAAAAAATCCCCCCCCCCCCCCCCCCTGGGGTCCCGCCTCAGGTGGTTGGCTCATCAGTCGCTTGTTGTCACTGCGTCGCAAGGGGAGGTGTGACCTTTTTCGCTATCGTTAAACCCTTCCGACGCCTGCCCATTTATAGATGAGGACACCTGCGGAGAACTATTTCGGGCCCGAGGGATTCACCGAGCTGCTGAAGGCGCTCACTAACTTCGGGCAGGAGAGGCTGGGCTGCACCGCGATTTCCCCACCGTGGCTCAGCGTCTACGTGGACGGGTGCGAGCAGCGATACCACACCGACTCTTGGCACGGGCCCTGGGCGTTCGTGCTGTCACTTACAGGTGGGCACAGCGCTTGTCAAGTGTGTTCGACCGTGCAGACCAGCGATAGGCTTGGGGAGGCGGACGTTGTTGTTCGCACATTCTGAAGGAGGGCCCCGCAGCCAGTGATGGTGTATTTTGGACTGCTTCACCACCTGGTCTTGATGCGCTATTATAGTCGGAACGGTCTTGTTCATGTTCCACATGGCGAAGGATGTCAGCTGAGAGAGACGCTGTTTTTTTTCCCTGGCAGTACAAAACAGTACATGTCCTAGCTGCAGTGCTACTACTGCTGTGTAGCACACCTGTTCATTCTTTGCCGCCTCGGCGCGGTCGCTGTCGTCAAAATTGCAACATACGCAGCGAGAGTGCTGATTCTTTTACACCCGCGCTTTTGGGATCCATGCCACTCTCTCGAGCCTGAGGGCTGAGCTCATCAACTGTGGACAGGAAGCTTCTCATATTTCACCCACCCGCACGGCCTCTTCGTTCAGACTGGGAGAATCGCGGGTTCACAGGGGGCGAGACGATGATTCTCAAGCCGCACGTGCTAGACTACTGGCGGAGCTTCCAGCCGGGTATCGGCCTGGAGGAGAAGCACTTCATCGACACCGTGGAGCCGCACTTCAATCGACTCACGGTGTTCGACCCGCGCTTCCCGCATGGCGTGCGCCCCGTTGGGGGCACGAAAGACCCGCTCAAGGGCCGCTTGGTGAGAACCAAATAATCTTTGGGGAGGGGGGGTTGGTTCTAAGCGTCATGTCTTGCTGTTTCCTTCGCAGGTGAGGTCTGCCTAGAACTCGCCAACGAAGCGCGTAGAAGAGGGTTACGTTAAGAGCAGTGTATGTTGTACCTGATTTGGTCGTATGGCACTATATGACAGTACGCGAGGGCAGTGTACATGTTGCACCTGGTTGGGTCGATGGTACTCTGTACCCGTACGCTTTGCGGTGTTGCGTTGTGGTTTTGCGCTCAGTAGTCTCATGGTGAAATATTTTTTTCGATTTTGAGGAGTATTTATTGTGGTGTCCTCAGGTGTCGGTGGGGTTTCCTCCCTTGATTCCTGCATCACGCATGTGAGATGCACGGCCCGTCGAAGCCGAAAGGCATTTGTTTCTCCTCCGTGACGGCACGGCAGTCCGCATGAAGTCACGTGTCTCGTAGCGCAACAGACATCTCCTCCTGGGTCCCGCCCCGCGCCCATTTATATTTTTTTAAGTATCCCGTGAATAAAGTTCTTCCTTGTGCGCAGTCTCTTTTCATGTCTCCGTGAGTCAAAACACGTTCCTACTTTACGTTATAAAAACTACACCTCCAACAGGTGATCCACGGTTGGTTCACCGACCCCCAGCCGTTCTTCACCGGTGGCCTAAGCGCCGAAGAGGCAACGGAACCTCTAAACGACGCCCTCGAGACGGTCTACCCGGCCCTCGAGGGAGTCGGCCGTGTTACGGGAGTGCTCACCGTGCGGCTGCACGTGTCGGGCGAGACCGGAGCCGTCGTGAGCGTGGTGGCGCTGACGGACACGCTGATACCGGACCCGAATGACGTCGGCGTCGACGAAGAAGGGGTCGAGGAGGACGCCAGGGCAGACGTGCTGGAGGCGGTGGATAGGGGGTGCCGGGAGGCGAGGTTTCCTGCGGCCGGCGAGGACACGCACATCACTGTGCCCTTCGTGTTTGAATGATGAAAATTTCCGGGATTTACAGAAGAAAATAATGTACCTAACGTTAATTTGTGCAATTTTGTGCGATTCGTGTTATGCCATGACGTTGTCAAGACACAACAACCCGGGGGTAGCTCCGGCCTCAACTGAAGCCATGTCCTTTTTTCCCAGCGGAGGTCATCTATGATGCGAGTTGGTCGACGCACACGCTCTGTGTTGTGCCAAAACGTTGTCAAGACATGAATAGCAAAAGGAAACGACCATGTTTTGATGGCCGCCTAAGGTGGCGTTGGTCGTGGGGAGAAGTGCGTTGGTCGTGGGGAGAAGTGCGTTGTTCATGTCATCCGCACTTAGTGTACCCACGGTATACCAACTCACGCTCTCAAGTTGAAGACGTGCTCCTTCCAGACAAATAAAAGCATTGTTAAAGCACGAACAACGTCGGCGTTGCTGGTACCAAGCTCGCACTTCTGTTGCTCCAGGCTTGAGAACGGAAGCGGGAAAGACTCCTCTTGCATCCAAGGCGTGAAGACTCGACATGTGAATCGTTGCTGCTTCGCGCGTTCAGGAGGAGCTGCTGCTGTAGCCCCTGTTGTGTGCTCTCCTGTTCCGCTCTCGAAGCATAGAGCACATCACACTGGCAGCTCTTTGTGGCACAGACCGGCAACAAACGGACTGCGGTGTCCTCTGCTGCCCCTGACGCGTTGTTTGTTGTGGCGTTCACTAAAACAAACACATGTCGTAAACTACTTTCCCGCGTGGTCTAACCCGCACATAAAGATACGCACCAAGCAAATGCAATGACCGCCTGGCTACCGGCACGAGTGCCCAGGACTACTAACGGGGACGGGGACAACATTCGGACCTCAATCGCAAAACGATAACTATGAAACTTCCGGTCACTAATCCCGTTGTCCCGGTCACTGCTAGTCTCATCCCGTTATTTTCGTGGCGAAGAGACGCGTCACCTCTGCGGCAGCAGACGAGCTCGAGAACAAACGGAGGCCATCAGAGACACCACGCAATCAATTCGCCATCTCACCACGCCCACCCCTTCTTTGTCCAATTCGCTGTTTCTTCTCCTCCTCCTCCTCCTCTTTAGGTTTCTCCGGTATCAACAAACACCGCCCACGTGTTCAACCTATCAACATACCTCTACTGCTCCCACAGCAGTAGTGGCGCGCTAAGCCCTCCCCGGGATAGCTTGAATGTACCCCGGTCCCCGCAATCAATACGGGATTTCGGCCCGCTCTGCGACAACATCAACTTCAGCAGTTCCGACACGCCTCCTCTAAACACAAGCACCAACACCAACACCTTCCACGCAATGGTAGAATCTACCGCTTGAACCGGCCGTCCGACGACAAGCGCCTGTTGCACAGACCGCGCAACCAGAACACAACACACTAAAAAGATTGCAACAAACACCGGTCTGTCTCGGAATGTCGCGGCGCATCTAGAACCACCAACACCCACCGCCCCGACGGTACACCAGACACCCCACGGGCGAACAGACAAGGAAGCGCATTCGATGATGATTACGCGTACGAGAAGCCAACGGCACAACCAACATACCGCGTCAAGTCCCTCCCCCATTTTCCAGGGGTCATCGATCCCCCGATACATCGTCCCGCTTCTCCTTCTCCCCCCCCGCTTCCACCCGCACGTCCTCCTCCCCGTCTTCCGCCGACAGCAGGCTCTGCCGCAACGAATCGAGGTCCTCCAGCTCCAACCTTCGGTCCGTTTCCCTACCCTCGCCCCCTTCCCCCTGCTCACCCCCATCGGTCGACCTTCGCTCTTTCGGCATGAAAAGCGAGCTCACGGCCCCGTCCGACGCTCTCCACGTCGCCACGCCCCCCCTCTCGCCCACGGGTATTCGTACCGAGGACCTCGCCGGGCCCGGTCGGAAGCTAGACGGAATGAGGACGGGCATGACCTGCGGG